AAAATCTAGTCGATAAGTCCCTCATAATATTAGTACTAAGTGGTTGCCCGTACATATGTGCGGGTATAATTTTTTTGATATACATAGTTAATTATAATATTTAAATGTTAAATAGTTTTTTAAACATTGGTATGTTTGTATATATATTGTTTTAATATTTCACAAACTTCTTTCTGAAACTAATGTATTTTAAATTTTTTTTATTTTTATAATGCTTGTAATAATATAAAAGTTATGTTAAATAATAATTAAATTTTTATAATTTTTTTGAATATTTTTATAATATGCTTTATTTCTCCTTACACAATCTACTATATGTTTTTTTGCGTCTTACACAATATAAATTTGCAAATACATATATAATATATTTTAAGTATTTATTTTTCTTGATTTATTGCAATTTAAATTGAATTTTTTTTATCATTTTTACTTATTAGTAAGAGCGAATAGATGGTTGGCACGCATGTGTGGACATACCAACCAATTCACTACACTTAGAATAGATAAAGATTTTTTTTAAAAAAATATAAATTGCATAATAATTAAAATAAAATTTAGATTGTAATCAATCTTAACAAAACACATGCACGAAAAAATTCGCATGTGACTTCAATTAATGTACAATTAATATTTATGTTTGTACGCATATTTGTAAAAAAATTGAAATATAGCTCCTACGTGTTAAAAAATTTTTACGTGACTTTGTAAAATAAAGTACGAGAGATTTATTTTTATATACTTCTATTTTTTATTTCTTATTCATATTGTTTCATCTTATTATAATTTATTCTTTCGTTTGGTTATTTTTTATTTCATTTATGATCTCAAAATTATGATATACAATGAAAATAAATTTATGTATATATATATGAATATGATATAAATTTTTATTTTTATTTAAAATATGATAACAGATAAGATGAGATGGTAACATAAGTTATGTACATTTTAGAAAACAACAACAAAAAGATGATAAAAGTTATAAAAAAATATATGGTCCTATTAATATTATAAAATAATAATTAGTATATACTTTATTCATTTAGTAAATATTGGTTTGAGAAGAAAAATTATTTAAAATTAGGATTTTAAAAAAAAAATCAATAAAAGTTAAATATTTTTTATTATTTTTAACATTTTATTCTTTAAATTATTTTAATCATGATTGTATTTTATTTAAAATTGTATTATTTAATAATTTGTTTATTTAAAACTTGTTTAGATGTTATTAATATATTTTATAAATTAATAACTTTTTGAAATAAAAATATATCATACTTCAAGCATTATTAATAAATAGAAATTTTACTATTTTATTTGGATAATTTAGTATTATTTTTTCATTTTTATATGAAATTATATTATATATATATATATATTTGAAAAAAAAACCGTAATTATATTTTATGAAATTATGAATATATGTAAAAAAATTGAAATTATAATAACTTTGATTTTCTGTTAATTTAAATTTGTTAATTTTAGTGTTATAAATAATTTAGTTTATTTATGTTTTAGTTACATAATTTCTATAATTTTAATTCAACCAATCAAAACATTTCGTTTATTTTATAAAGTTTGACATGTCACATTTACATGTCATCAATTAAAAGCACTAATTTTGGCTGTAGTGTTGGACAAATCAGTTATTTTCAATAATGTTACTTCTGTAGTGGATAGGACATCGTTATGATGCATTGTTTGATACAAGAAATGGGTAGAGAAATCGTTCGTACACAGTCAAGTGAGCCTGGAGAACGAGAATTCCTAGTGGACTCGAAGGATATTTGCGAAGTACTTGAGAATAACAATGTTAGTTTTCTCCTGATCCTTTCATAACTCACTCGGTAAGATTATGGTTTTGTCTCTCTTCCTTATCGCTATATTTTTTCATTTGTCAGGGTACTAGAAAGGTTTTAGGTATAGCATTGGATGTGGATAAGATCACTGACGAGGTGTTTGTACATGAGAAAGCTTTCGAAAGGATGCGTAATCTCTATTTCCTAAAAATCTACTACACAAAGGCATTGATGTCGGAAAAAGAAACCAGATTGCATCTTCCAGAAGGTTTCAACTGTTTGTCCCCTAAACTTAGATTACTGAGTTGGCACAGATGCCCGTTGAGATGTATGCCTTCTAAATTTTGTCCTAAAAATCTTGTTGATCTCAATATGCGGGAGAGCAAGCTCGAGAAGCTGTGGGAAGGAGTAGGGGTAAGTGTTCCATAGTACAAATCTATATCCTATTTATTAGTGATAGTGTATTAACTCATTTTGACTTTGCTCTGTGTGCTCAGTCGCTGACATGTCTCAAGTACATGAATTTGCTAGGATCTGAAAACTTGAGAGAAATTCCAGATCTTTCAATGGCGACCAATCTTGAGAGACTTATTCTCAGTGGATGCTCTAGTTTGGTGGAGGTTCGTCGTTCCTCTATTCAGAATCTTAATAAACTGGAGGAATTGTATATGAGGAAATGCATAAAGCTGGAGATTCTTCCAACCGGAATCAACCTTAAATCTCTAAGGCGCTTCAATCTCAGTGGCTGCTCACGGTTAATGAGGTTTCCTGATATTTCAAGAAACATCTCGGACCTCTCTCTAAGCGGAACGGCTATTCAAGAAGTTCCCTCAAGCTTGCGTCTAGAGAATCTCATGTATCTTGATATGCAAGAAATAAAAAATGAAAAACTTTGGGAAGGATTGCAGGTATGTAATGTGTTCATCTGAACCCCAAGTTTGCAAATGAGAAACTACATACAATAATTAATCATCATTTTAATATTTGGTTTTTGGTTTCAGCCACTTGGGCCATTGATCACGATATTGTCTCCTCCTTTGAACACCGAAATCGAGAAACTGCATCTTTGCGGGATCTCAAGTTTGGTGGAGCTTCCTTCCTCTATTATGAATCTCATTAAGTTGAGTGAGTTGAAGATTTCAGATTGCACAAATCTGGTGACTCTTCCAAGTGGCATTTTACTCAAATATCTCATAGTACTCAGTCTAAGCGGATGTTTGCGGCTGAAGAGCTTTCCTCGTATCTCAAACAGCATCTCAGTTCTCCAGCTAAACCAAACAGGGATCGAAGAAGTTCCTTGGTGGATCGAAAACTTCACTAGCCTTCAAACCCTTTCAATGATGGAATGCGACAAGCTGAAACATGTGTCCTTAAACATTTGTAAACTGGCATATCTTAAGGAGGCTGATTTTACAGACTGCAGGGGGTTGACTGAAGCTAGTTGGAAAGATCATCGTCCAATGGTAGTAGACCATCGGCCAAAATGCCGCTTCGATTTCATGAACTGTCTCAAATTGGATCAAGAAGCTCTTTTTCAACAGCAACCAGTTTTCAAGTTTATGCACTTCCCAGGTGAAGAAGTGCCTTCATATTTCACTCACCGAACTACTAATGGAAGCTCTTTGGTCATTAAGACCGTTCTCTCTCAAGAGGTCTTCAGTTTTCAGGCTTGCGTCGTGGTTGATGATGTATCTATCTCCACACTCCATGTAACATTACCTGTCCGGGTAAATTGTCAGGTTAGAGGCGACATAGTTGGAAACCAAATTGTTTTTTCCCCTAATAATGATGGTGATTACTTCGAGATACGTCTACATCACCAGGGTATAAATGTGGTAATATTCGAATGTTCTTTCATTATACGGAACAACGACAATGCTTCTTCTCTTGGTGACGTTGTGGATATTGAGTTTGTCCTCACTAGTTTATTCTGTTATAAAGATGACCCTATGCCCAAAATCAAAGGATGCGGTATACGGTTCTTTGGGAACTGTCCATCACCGAACCTTCTTGAAGCCGATGAAAACAGTGTTGAAGGCCATGAGACTGAAGAGTCTGAAGACAGTGATACAGAGACAATAAGAATCAGGAAGCGAATAAGGGTAAAAAAAGCATTTATACTTCAAATTTATTACCTGGACACTTATTTTATAAGTATAACATATCATTGAATTGTTTGTTTGCAGGTAGCTTGAAGGCCACTCAAGAATCTACTGACATGTCACATGTGGGTTTCATTTTGAATCTTTTATCTAACTATGATTTCAAAGAAGTCATTTTTTGAGGTCTGCTCCCATTTGAAGACTTTAAGGTGATAGGAACAGTGTCAATAAGCCAAATGGTTCTTGCATAATTCATGATCAAATGGGCATTGCTGAGAGATTGCTTGCAGGCTCTGTCACAAACTAGTTAGTCACGTTATTGATTCTAGAGTTTAAGCTCGAAGCTGCAGATTTTTACGATGCAGTTCTCTGTGGAATTGTGGATAAATGAGTCTCACATGAGACAAGAGAAGGTGATCAATCAACAACAAGTCTCTCTGTTTCAGATAGAAGCTTTGTGTTTGCATAATCTCTTCTCTACCCCTATTTTTTGGAGAATATTACATTTATAAGCACTTAAAGGAATTTTCAATTACATCTAAAGATACTTACAAAGAGAAGAGGATTTTGCTTACATGAGAAGACAATATTACCCTCACATTAAGAAATCATATGTTCGATGATAAGTCTTACAATTTAGGGCTTGATTGGTTGCTTCTTTACAATCTGTGCACAGCAATATTTGGGCCTACAGCTCAAATATGTACCAATCATGCTTTATTTTTTGTTTTCAAGTCTACAGCTCTTCTTTAATTTCTGTCATTTTTAAGTCTGTAGAAAGTCAAATATCTACAGCCCAGTTTTATGGGCTCTCCAAACTTTTAAATTTTTATTTTTCTTAAATTTAATTTAAAAATAATTTATAAATAAAGAAGCCCTAACCATAAACTTATAAATTAACAACAAACTAAAACCCTAGATCGTAACCATAAAAAAACAGAAGAAAAGAGCACGTCTTTTACAGAGATTGATCTTAAAAAAAAAAAGAGCAAGACGAAGAAACAAGTAACGTTTCTTTCTATCTTTTTCTATGTTAGAATTTTATATGTTTTTCTACAATTAGTGTTGTCTTAGAATCATCTTTTCAAATATTTGTAAGGTATGGCAAACAACATGGAAAACAACGTTTCTGAAAACATCGGTGTGGTAAACAGCGGTGCAGCATCATCATCACAAAGAGAGGTAAATATTAATCCTAAATTTTAATTAGTTTGAAAATAAATTTAAAAACAATTCTTTAATGTATCTATTTTGTGTTATAGATTAATATTAAGTGGACAGACGAAATTTCTCAGAATGTTCATAGAGATGTTTTTAGCTCAACTTGATAAGGAAAATTGGGTAGATAAATCTTTAACAAAAGAAGGTAAACTAAGTGTGAGGAAGAGCTTTAAAGAAGCTACTGGGTTTGATTTAGTTTGGAAAAACTTTTCAAACCATCTCCATAATTTGAAACTTTGGTATGATTGCTACAACCAACTCTCCAAGTATACTGGAGTGACTGTTGATCGTATCACGGGACAAATCAATATGGAAAAAGAATGGTAGAATGATCGAATACAAGTGAGTATAATATTATTTTAAAATAATTTATTATACTATATATATGTATTTTTGATAGGAACACGTAAATAATTTTCCCTTAAAAATTTTAGGAAAACAATGTTGCTAAACGATTTCGTAAGAAACCATTAGCAAATGAAGACCTATTGGATAGATTATTTAGTGGAACTCGTATAGGCGTTGAAGATGGATGGTCTGTTGGAAATGGTCCTGATTTGTATCGTCCTCAGCATGCAAACGAGACAGAAACACAATTTGACATGAACACATCATATGTTAACGATGATCCAGAGGTGTTGTTTTCTACTCCATTAGACGGACAAACTGAGAGCACGCAGTCAACACCAAACCCTGTTCATCCATCTTCCGCTGAAAGACCTAATAATGATCAACGAAATAAACGTAAACGTGGAGCATCCGCCAATGATAGTCAGTCTGATTTATCAAAAGCTTTTCCTGAACGATCAGATGCAATAAAACTGGCAGCATCAGAGATGTCATCAGCTTTAACATCGGACGTAACTATGGCTGCTCGACGCCTACATCAAATATCAGAAATTGAATTTGACACATCTTTTTATTGGGATGCTACAAATTTACTTTCTTCAAATGAAGGTGTTCGAAGATGGTTTTTAGGAATTCCAGAAAATAATTTTGCACTTCTTTATCTGGAGCAAATGATTGGCCGTAAGCATGATGAACAATCATAAAAAAAATATTTAGTTTTTTTAAGAATTTTATTTATTAGGAAGGGTTTGCAAGTACTTGGAATTATTTATTTTCTTTATCTATTTGATTTATTTATATTTTTGTCTTTGAATTTTTTTAATAAAAATATTATATAAATCTTAATTTTCATATTACTTATTATCTTATTTTATTTAAATTTATTATTTTTTATATATACAGATTGTCTATCTATTTTGGCAAATGTTGGATGATGGCGATGAAGATGATTCTCAATTGATAGAGGACACTATAACAATGAATATTGTTAGACAACCATTGTGTGCACATCCCGATCGCGGTCATCAATTTGTGAATGATTTAATATACGGTAATCCTGATCAATGCCTCTTTTTCTGAGAATGTGTCCACAAATATTTCTTAATCTATGTGATACCATAGAAAAGAAATAAAAGATGAAATCTTCTCAAAACGTGACTGTGAAAGAGAGTGTTGCAATGTTTTTGTACGTCTGTGGTCACAATGTCACTCAGCGAAACGTGATGAGAACGTTTGGACATTCACAAGAAATCGTATCCAGGAAATTTCATGAGGTTCTTAACGTTATGGAGCTTATGGCAGTAGATACGTTTAAACCAGATCATACAAGTCTCAATCAAGTTCTTAATCTATGTGATACCATAGAAAAGAAATAAAAGATGAAATCTTCTCAAAACGTGACTGTGAAAGAGAGTGTTGCAGTGTTTTTGTACGTCTGTGGTCACAATGTCACTCAGCGAAACGTGATGAGAACGTTTGGACATTCACAAGAAACCGTATCCAGGAAATTTCATGAGGTTCTTAACGTTATGGAGCTTATGGCAGTAGATACGTTTAAACCAGATCATACAAGTCTCAATCAAGTTCACCCTAAGTTGCAGTCTGATAAGAATTACTATCCGTGCTTCAAGGGATTTGTTGGTGCAATGGATGGAACACACATCCTTGTTGTCATCTCAGGAAGAGATCAACAACGGTATTGGAATAGAAAAAGTGTGTGCAGCATGAATATTCTTGCAATTTGCGACATGGACATGTTATTCACATACATATATGTTGGTGTGCCTGTGTCTGCACATGATGCAAAAGTACTTGCGTTGGCAATAGATGGCGATCCTAATTTTCCACATCCACCTGTAGGTAAGTACTACCTTGTTGATTCAGGATATGCTGTACGTCGTGGATATTTGGGACCATATAGCCAAACTCGGTATCATCACAGCCAGTTTCAAAATCAAGCACCGCCTAGTAATTATAAAAAAAAATTTAATCATCGTCATTCTTCGCTTCGTTGTGTCATTGAAAGAACATTTGGAGTATGGAAAGGAAAATGGAGGATAATGCAGGATCGAGCAAGATACGATATTAGAACGACAAGAAAACTCGTGGTAGCAACTATGGCTCTGCATAACTTTGTACGTAAATCAAACATACCAGATCCTGACTTTGAAGATGCTTCGAGACAAGATGGTGTTCAGCAACCTCCGTTAAATGACGAAGTTGAAGTAGTTGCAGAAGAAGTGCCTAGTTCAAGGCAATATATGGAGGGAGTTCGAGATGAGATTGCAATGTACTTATGGACTACTCGTGGGTAGATTTAAGATTATGTTTAAATTTTATGATTTATTTTAGTTTTTTAAAATGATCATTGATTTATTTTTGTACAACTATTAAAATAACATATTTTCACAAATTTTAGTAATATTATTTATGATAAATAATTTTGATATATATTATCTATTCTAAGTATATAATATTACTATTTTCATATTTATTAATATATATATTATTAATCTACAGCTATTGTATACCAATCATGCTTTTATTCTAAAAAACTACAGATAAAATTGTACAGCCAAAATCCTACAGAATTAAAATCTACAGCTACAGCAAAAAGCCTACAGTAGTAATTCTACAGCAAAAAATATAAAACTACAGCAGTAACCAATCAGACCCTTACAGATCCATTCTTAATTAGATTTTTTACATTCCAATAAAAAACCTTAACGACAAACTTCATAGCCACGGTCTCAACCGTAACTCCAAATCGTCTTCTTCCCCGATGTCACCCATTTTCGCTAACTCCGACGAAGAAGAGAAATCGACAAATAAAAGTTTCAGATCCAAGCTTAGATTTAGTTTAATGATTCATGACCAAAAAGTTTTAGATCCAAGCTCAGATTTAGAAAAATTGGCTCCTCCACCAATTTTCGCTAATATGAACATCTTTAGTAATCTCAGATCCAAGCTCAGATTTAGGTTAATGATTCATGACAAATCAAAGTTTTAGATCCATATAAACATATCCATGATGTGTTTATCCACATTATGCTATCCACTGTATTCTATCCACAAAGACCGTATATGATATCCACACTTCTACAGAAAAATTCTGATCAAATGTTAGGAGAGAGAAACTTGTATGTACATGACCTCTTCAGAAATGCAGCAGAACGAGATGTGTTGGAGAAGGTTGAATACGTCCCTATATAAATATCTATTTAATTTTGTAGATACAACATTCCAACTTGTTCGTATATAATCTAGATCACATCATCCACAAAGCCTTGTCCATTCGGCCATTCTAACTTGTTTGCTCTGAATTCAGATCCCATCATCCACAAAGTCTTATCCATTTTTCCATATCCACCATATAATTTCCACTTTGACTAAATCCATCGGAGTTTCAATAGAATTCATGATTGATTCTCTTAAATTCTTTAAATTAACCACTGATCTTTATAATCCTATGAGAAATCAAACTGAGATTTTTGTAAATACCATCTTCGGCATCACCAATCATCATCTTCTTATGTTTTTTCACTGTCAGCTTCGAACCAAAAGAGTCGGGCGGCGTCTCGTAGTCTTCTGATGTTTTCTTCTGATCGGCAAAGCTCATTCTCCATAACCCTTATTTGCCACTCTGATTTTCACTTTCAGAATTTGGAAACGTAACCAACGTGAATTGCGGTTTTACAGCTACTGAATTAATCCACTAAACCTCTGAACTGTGACACCAGAATATATATCATCATCCCTGTGGACACAAACTTGTGGACACATATCTCTTTTCACCACACACCTGTCCAACCAGTTACGTCCACAGAGTTTACATATCCCAACCTCTCAATTTACTCTCCACCGCCGGACCAGAAGATGTCGCCTCTCTCGCCAAACCCATACATGATAAACCTTACGCCACGCTCCGTCGTCGTCGCCCCAACCCCATCCATCCGTACAACGTAATCAATCGAAAATCAAATGATCGATACTAAAACAGATCACAAAGAAGAATAAAAAAAAAAAAAAAAAAGAAGGCAAAAACATAAAAAGCAAGAGAGAACAAAAAAAACAATGGGTTTGAATGGTATGCAGCTTTTTCACGTTTTAGAAACTTGATTCTGTTATTTTTTACCATTCATGTTATTCATCACGTTTTCACGTTTTTTTATGTTTTTGAAACGTGATTCCGCTAGCGTGTTAAAAATATAACTAAAAAAACAAAACGTGATTAATCCACTAAAAGTAGCTTTTCAGCGTTTCACAATTATTCAGCTAAAATATTATTCTGTTCAGTTCATTCCGCTAGTAATTTTTCAGTTATTCTGCTATTCTGTTATTCATCTGACATACCAGTCAGACCCAATGATAAAAAAAAAAAAAAAAAAGAGGTAAAGCTGAGCTGCCTTTGTTATCAAGAGCTCATAAAAAGAATTAAAGGTTTTCACTAAAGAAAATTAATGAAGAATATAATTAGTATTTCATAACCTAAAAAACTTTTAAAATCTCTCACTAACAAGAAGTGCTTTTAGATGTAAACAGAAATTTATAAGTACTTATGAGTATAAATCATTCCTATTTTTGTTGTTGTTTGTTAATTCTAATTTTCCTGTAGTTTTAAAGAAACTTATGAGTTCTCTGATAAAATTCATTCAATATTGCAATTACCATAAATACCAAAATTGCAATTTGATAATTTGCACACAAAAAAAAAAAAAAAAAACAATATATTGGTTGCCGTGTCAGGCGAGTCACTCAGCCCATAAAAACAGCGCGGAACAGCCAATAGTGAGATGACACGTAGGCAAATCCCGTTTACGAAGCTCGCTTTTTAGAGACAAAAAGCGAATGTCTATATCCGTAATTTCTCAACTGTCATGGGTCTCCCGTCGTCTCAATTTCTCCTTCCTCCGTAGATTCAAAGCTCCCTCAGATTTTAAGATTTCTCTCTCTCATTCTTGTTTCCTCCTAGAGATTCCCCCATTTCTTCACAGAGATCAAATTCGAAGCTCGCTACGCTCCTTGGGTTTATCAATTGCTGAAACCCTAGATCTTTCTCAAATCCCATTTGTTGACTGATAAAACAAAATCGGAATGGATGGTAATAGAAGCAGCAAGGAGTCGACAAGCGACTGTCGAGAAGGATCTGTAACCATGGAATCATCGGAGATTCAGCCTCCTCGTCCTCCTCAACCACAGCCTGTGGCGGTTCTAAGTGCAAACGCGCCTCCTCCGTTCCTGAGCAAGACCTATGACATGGTTGATGATCCAGCCACCGATTCGATTGTGTCGTGGAGTACTAGCAACAACAGTTTTATCGTCTGGGATCCACCACTGTTCGCTCGAGATCTTCTTCCCAAGAACTTTAAGCACAATAATTTCTCCAGCTTCGTCAGGCAGCTCAATACCTACGTAATCCCTCTTTTCCCCTCACTTTTTCTCATAATTAATTATGAACTAGGATACTTAGGGTTTATGGATTTCGTTTCATTGCCTTCTTGCTTAAGTTTCTGCGATGGCTATCCTTTGATCCAGAGGCGTTTCTAGCTTCTGTTTCGCCATATCTGTTGAACAATGGTTTAAGCCAATAGAACAATGGATGATTAACATTCTCAGTATGATTCTTAGAGACTCCTTTATCCCATTTCGATTATCACTGAAGACTTATTATATCTTGAGATGATTGAGTTTAGAACTTCGCTGTTTTGGGATTTCAATAGCTTTCTTGCTGGGAGAAATAGGAATAGACTATATTGATAGTCTAAGATAGTAATGAACCTTCCTGAATTTTCTCAGCATTATAAAAGGAGAAGAAAGAAGAAAAATGGAAAAGAAAGCAAGTCGCATGTTGATCATGACCTGAGTGCAAGGTTATTGACTTTCTGTTTAAAGACGTACCATCTTTTTGTACATGAGTCAAGGTTTAATGGAGACAGCTCGTCTCGGAGAACCTAAAAGGCGAATGTGATCACTAGTGCCTGGAATTTAGAAACTTGATAATATGTAGAATATATGAGTGCTCGGTGCTGCAATATCTGACTATCTGTGCTGTTACTAGTATGAGTTGACATCTTTTTATCTGGCATATCAGTTTCGGGAATCATAGGTTTTCCTCTGTATAGTTGCAATTAGAATAAATAGTTATTTGCTCATATATGCTGGATGGAGCTTGTACAGCCATAACTATATACGCTTGCTCTAGGCAAGTTCGTGGTGAGTGGAGCGTATATTACCTAATATTTAGAGAAAGGATGCTTATAATGCTGCCGCTTAAATAAGTTGGATTTTTCTGCAAACAGGTTTTGTATTGAACGTGCTGCATTTGTGGATATAATTATTCATTAGTTACTGTCTCTGTAACACGTATTTACATGCTGGACGCTATTTTGAAGGAAGATTCAATCTTTATTAGTTTATTCGATGCAGACTCTGGCATAAAGATTACATTGGTATATCATAGAGACATTTTACTCTCTTAGTATCAGTGATCCCTTTTGGATATATTGGTTTGGGTGGTAGGTAAGACCCGTAATTGGAACATGTATTTATTTAGTCTTCATCTATTGACTAGACCAGATTGGTGTGCTACGTTTACTTGACTTTTATAAGAAAATTGCTCTTGAGCATGTAATTCCAACTTATAAGCTACTTCCTAACTATGGATGTTTGAATCTGTGAATAGTTGCTAGTTAGGCTCTGTATTGAAACTTGAAAGTATAGATTGGGCCTTGTAACCTTGTATCCTATGGGGAGACTTCTTTCTCATTGGTTTTGGTGAACCCATGCTCACTGCATTTTTCGTGCCTTTGTTTGAAACAGGGTTTCCGGAAGGTTGACCCAGATAGATGGGAATTTGCGAATGAAGGCTTCCTAAGAGGTCAGAAGCACTTGCTAAAAACAATAACCAGGCGAAAACCTGCCCATGCCCAAGTACAACAGCAACCTCAGCACTCAAATGGGCAGAACTCATCTGTTAATTCGTGTGTTGAAGTTGGCAAATTCGGTCTCGAAGAAGAAGTTGAGAGGCTTAAAAGAGATAAGAACGTCCTTATGCAAGAACTCGTCAGATTAAGACAGCAGCAACAATCCACTGATAACCAACTTCAAACGATGGTTCAGCGTCTCCAAGGCATGGAGAATCGGCAGCAACAACTAATGTCATTCCTCGCAAAGGCGGTGCAAAGCCCTCATTTTCTGTCACAGTTCTTACAGCAGCAGAACCAGCAAAACGAGAGCAGTAGGCGAATCAGCGATACCAATAAGAAGCGGAGATTCAAGCGAGAGGGCATTGTCAGTAGTAACAAAGATTCTGCTTCTCCTGATGGACAGATAGTGAAGTATCAACCTCCAATGCACGAGCAAGCGAAGGCAATGTTGAAACAGCTTATGAAGATGGAACCTTACAAAACCGGCGATGATGGTTTCCTTATAGACAACGGTACTTCAAGTACTACAGAAGGAGCAGAGACAGAGATGGAGATTTCACCAAACCACGTATCGGGTATAACTCTTCAGGAGATGCCAACAGCTTCCGAGATGCAATCATCATCACCGAGTGGAGCAACACCAGTTGCTGAGTTTCCAACACCAGAAGAAGCAATTCCTTCACCTGATGACCAAACTCTATCTGAATTGGCTGATATGCTACCAGAGAACATCGCAGAGTTGCCTCCGGGGGATTTCATGGAAGGTTTTAGTCCTTTCCTAGATTCGGATCTGTTCAACAATGGTTCACCCTTTGACATTGACGACATTCCAATGGATCCGGATCTAGAACCTTCGGTTGATGATTACTCTGCGTTCCTTGAAGACTATCTAATGTCAAGCCCGGTTCAAAATGATATGGATTTAACAACAGTGGATCTTAAAAGCAAGGAGAGTGGAACAGAGCAGAAGCAAAATGGATGGGACAAAACTAAACATGTGGATAAGCTTACTCAACAAATGGGTCTCCTCTCGCCTGAAAACATAGATCTCTCAAGGTAATTAAGATAATTCTAGTATAAGACTACAAAAAACTATTAAGTGAAGTCAACTAATATATGCTTATATATCTTTCATAATGTTTATTTCATTCAGGCAAAATCCCTGATTTGGGGAAGTTTTGAAGTCTTTTGAAGCAACTCTGTTTTCCCCGAGAGCAGCATTTTCATTTCATGCACTGATTGATCAATTTCTTATATCGAAACTTGTGTTAACATTTCTGCTTCTTGCAACTGTTAAAATACACATTCTGTTGATTTACACATTCTATCAAGGTGAGAATCTTTTTAAAGTTTCAATATATCCTCGAATTTGTCGCCTATTTGTTAGAAGAAGAGCAATGTATAAAACTAGGTTATGAGGCGGAATATTCATATTTCTCATTCAAAAAATTATGATTTTATTAGCTCATTAATTGTCCAAAACTAAACTGAAACAAATCTTCAAAATTTGGCTTATCTTCTTGAAAACCAAACCTATCTCTGCAAAACAAAAGGAACAAAAACTTGTGAGAGAGAGGGATTACTACAATCTATTTATCACAAAAGAATGAAGAAGAAGCTCTTCAACAGTGACTCTCTTCCTCCAATCCTTCTCCAAACATTTTCCAACAAAATCTCTAAACTCCGGCGAACAACTCGCAGGAATCTCCACCTCCTCATTACAACAAATCGCACAAATCAGAGCCGCCCAATCCGGTTTATCCCCCGGTTTGGTCAACGGATACCTTCCAAGGTAACACTCGAGAACCACAACTCCTAATGACCACACATCTCCTGCAAATCCAACTTTTCCAAAACCCCATTTCTCTGGATCCACACGTTCAGGGCTCATATATGCACACGTCCCACTCGAACCATAGTCGTCTCCTCCGGCTACAATCCTGCTCGCTCCAAAATCCGCAATCTTGACCTCTCCTTTCTCGTTGATGAGGAGATTCGAAGGCTTTATGTCTCCGTGAACTATCCTCATTTCTTGCAAGTAACGCAACCCTTGGAGGACTCTGTAAGCGAGAGATGATATCACAGGCTCGGGGAAGCCTTGTCGAGCAAGCAACGCCTCGTGGAGAGATCCTTTCTCCATAAGCTCCATCACGTAACATAAGTAGGATGAGTTAACGAAAACGGCGTAGCATTTGACGATGAAGCTCGATTCGATTCGCTTGAGGATGTCTGTTTCGACGGCGGTTGCGTTGAGATCATTTGACCGGAGGAGTTTTAACGCGTAGAGCGTTTTGGTTCGCCGGTGACGGGTTTTGTAGACTGTCCCACCGGTTCCTCGTCCTAAAACGGTGAGTTTCTCGAGATCGTTTAAGGTTTCAACCGGAGATGATGAGTCAGGGCTTGCTGATGATGATGATAATGAAAACGACGGCGGAGATGGGACTCCGGCGATGCGAATGTAAAGTGGTGGTGGAATAGAGAGTGTGAGTGGTTCTTGGTGACGTCGCTCTCTCACAAGTGACATCTATTTTGGTATTCTCACTTGTGGTTTTCAAGTCCAAAGTTACATAAAAAGGACTTTTGTTTTGTTAAATTAAATATCATAAAAAGGAACTTGATGATGATCTCTCTTGTATGACAGACACTTGTCACAGTCAGTTTTAACAAACTCAAACATTTGTGGTTTTCAGGTGGTGGTGATCAATCTGTTTCTAAAATTTTACAGGATAAAAATAGGTACAGTTTTTGGGGTTTTTAATACCTTCTTATCTCCGTACATCTAGTAAGAATCTTTGTTTATAGTTGGGAAGATGATAATAAGTAACCTAATTTTTTTCAAAGGAATACAAAAAAAAAAGGTGCTAGGTTAAAAAAATATATTCAAGAACAAATATGTTAAATATAAGTGTTGTCTTAGGTTTAAATTTTAAAACTGATATTTAATCAAGAAATAAACATAAAATAAAAATCCGGTTACTTATATTATTTGTTTGAGAAAATTAAAATATAAGCCCATGTAAATTTGTACTAAAAATAATAATTTTGAAATTGACATTTAAAATAGATATGTAGTAATTACTTTTAAAAAAATTATACAAACAAAACAAAAATAAAGATAGTGGTTAATACATTTATCGATTCCTATTAGATTTTTGCCAATTTAACGCCGGGTTCATCTTATCATTTTAGTGGGGTTTGTTGCAGTTACTTAACGCCAAAAACATGTTTCTATATATTTCAACCAAGAATATCAGAACCCTCATCAAAGATTTCGGACCACTAAATCGAACACCCTCAGTTTCAGTTAATGTTGTTATATATATAATAGGCTCGTTAAAAGAATAATGATCTCTTCACCTTTTTACTACTATTAATACCATTGAAATAGCTACAGTTCTAAAACCAGTGACTATTAACAAAAGAAAAACATTAGTATTCGTAGAAAAGGGAGGAAAACAACAAAGCCAACGTCTGTGACAAACACCATCAATCGAAACATTATCCTATCATCAAAAACATACGACCACTGTTCTGAAAATTGTCTTACTTGAATCTGATCATCTGGGCAGCTGAACAATGCTTGATTTCACCACAGCTTCACCTTCTTTCTTCAGAAAGTTACCTAATCAGATATGATTCAGCATCAGCAGAGTGTGTAAACCAAAACAAACTAATCAGATACTATAGATGTTCTCATCACATCGATTTGTTTCAAATTCTCTGATCTATAGAATTGCCAATATCTATGATTGTGAATCATCGGAATGATAATTACATTGCTTCAAAGAAAAACTAAAAGGTTTGTACTTGGTTTTCAAGATCCATTTATAGCTAAAAGAGAATCTGAGTGAGAAAGAAACTGACCTCTTCTCGAGATAAGATGGATTCGGGAACGAGGACCATCGAACATCCAACTGTCTTCCTCCAAGGATTTAGCCTCTTTGTCAAGCTCAGCCATCAAATCAGTTTTCAATACTGCACAATGAAAAGCCCAAAGATTCGATCATCTTTCTCAATCAAAACACTTAAAAATATAGTTTTTGATCTACCCAAGTACCAAATCAGCTGAAGAAATTACAGTCCTAGAACAGCTTTAATACGTAATATAAGGTGATTCTATGGCAAACTCAGATCGACCCAACCGAAAGACGCAATCCCAGATTTAAACACTGAGACTTTCATCAAGCAATCGAACTTCTACAGCTCTGATCAATAACAAATTCGACTGCTCAAATCTTACAGAAAAACCCTAAATTAGAACACATACGAGAATCGAAAACCCTAACAACGGCGACGTGACACCGAAAAATCTCTGGTCAATGAGAAATTCGATTAACGATTCTCTTTGCGATGAATTAGAAAACCCAAAAACTTAAAGATGATAAATGATGAGAGAAAGGAAAGGGTAGGAACACTCACCGCGCATGGCTTCGTCTTTTCGCTCCTGCATAGATGGAATGTCCGGCGGAAAATGGCAATCGTCTAGGCCAGCGGCGGCGCCCCTGCTTCCACCGCCTCCAGCTACGGCGGTCGTCGAAACCGAAGAATGAGCTGGAGATGCGCCGTTCATCGCTCGATCTGACCTCAGAAGCGGGAAAATGTAGAAATCCCCGAATTTAGATTCCCTTGAGAGAGAAAAATCAAATTGTTCAAACTTCAGAGAGATTGAGATCGTCGCTTAAAATTTACAATTTTCACTCTCTTTTTGTCCTTTTAAAATTAAATAAAATCAAGTTGTTCAATCCTGTTTTGGTTTGCTTACGGTTCGTTTTTCCGGTTTTCCAAACTCCCCCGCCAATTTTACCCAGTGCAAAGATCTTTGGAGATTCTCTCAAAAAGTCAAAACTAATACTGAAAATCTGTAAAAAACTTTTATAATATATCTTCCGCTAAAGTTGAATAAGGATATACGATTATAATTCAGAATTCTTATCACAAGATAACGCATAAACCTACACATTACAAGCAAGTCCATTGATGATTAAAAAATAATTCAAAAAACCATTTAGATATCACGAATTGTAAGCACAGATAAATTCTATAAACAATTTAGTCAGCAGACGATAAAAGTTGGAACATATAATAAAGTTACTCAACAACACTAGAAGAACCACAAAAATATGAAAATCAAAAATACATTACTGGTCATAGATCTTAGCTCATTGGGTATGCAACATTATTTCATGTTTGGACCAATAATTTACCCTTAAATATTATTTTAATTAATTTAAGTAATATTATGGTGATTGGCACCGCTTATATTTTTTTACAAAGAAAAATAAGGGAATTGCATTATTTATCAAAGACAAAAAAGAATTACAAGGAAACAAAACCTAATTGATTCAAGTAATGGCAACAATAAAGTAATATGGTATTTCACTGTTCAACTAAGAAAACAAGTTCTTAATACTAATAGACCAAACAAGAATGCTAAGAAGAAGCTGAAGACTTCGAGTCACCGCTTCAAAGAGGTGATGGTGACATCTGATACTGTGGAGCATTAGTAGATGAATCAGCTAACGGAGAAGGTGAAGGAGACGGAGAGGAGCTTGGTGACCTGACCGGTCCAGGAACCGGAGCAGCCACGGGACCCAACGAGGCCGGGAAGACGAGGATGTCAAGCTTTTGTCCTATGTCGCAGTGACCAGGAACTCCGCATATAAAGTGTTGGAATCCCGGTTTGGTTAGAGTCACCGTGTCAGAGCCGGTTTGGTATCTTGCTAGCGGTTTAGACGGATCGCACAGCTCGAAATCATGGGGAGTGACTTGAGTAACGTCGTGGAACTCGTTGTTGTATTCGAAAACCAAAGAGTCTCCGACTTGAAAAGTTCTTGAAGAAGCCCAAGCCTCGTAACCAACCCCCATCATGGTCCATCCGTTTGCGTCGCCGACTTTGTGAACGGTTCCTCCGACGGCAACACCAAGAAGTGCCACAAGAATCAGCAAAGAAGTGAAGAAGGATTTGCCCTTCATCAAAGCCATGGTTGATGATTTGGTTCTTGTTCTTCTTTGGAATAGAGAGAGGCAATACGTTTGAGAGAGATTATGCAAGAGTATTGAGTTTGTTTGGTGAGAAAGGTGAGCCCGTAAGAGTGTTTATATAAGAGCCGGTTGTTCGATAAATGATAATCTTTTTTCTTTTAGGATTTGAAGATTTGGATAATATTCACTAGTGTTCCATTCATGAAAAGGATACACAACGACCGTCTCTAATTTAAATTTACTTTTCAATTTTTTTTCCATAAGAACTGATTTTTGTATAATTAAATTGATTTTTGTACAACATCAAATTTCCTTTTTAACATTTAATTGTTTCGTTTTTATTTTAGTTACTATATAGAAATATCTCATCGTCAATTTAATTATTGTCATATTATTAATTAATGAAGTAAGTTAGACTGTAGTTTAGAGTTATAATGGTTGATTTTTCTTTGCTTTTTATCTAAAAAAACTGATTTACCCCTGATGAAATTAACAAATTAATATAATATAATTTTAACTGATTTTTGTTTTTTAAAAATTTATATTTACAAATTTGAATTTATATTATAAGAATATTCAATTTACTAAAAAAAGTAATTAGCATATAATCACAAAAAATGATCCTGATTATTTTTTAAACTAATATTAATTTGATTATTTCACCTACTAATATTTTTGATTAATCTAATTAATTTATGCGGCCTCAAGTACAACCTCTAATCCTTTAACTCTAGATCGATCGGCAGACGTATTCTCTCTCTACAACTTCCATTTTAGATCTCTAATCTCTTTCAAAAAACCAATCGTGGAAGATTCAAAGTTACGATTTTATGGAGAGTTTTGTTGGAGAAAAATAGTTAAATTGATTCTAGCATTTGGTTATACTTTTATGTTCAGTTTGATTGAATGTGGTTTGATTTGTGCGTGTGAGAACAACTGGGATAAAAAACTCGGACCAAGCAAAAACTTTTCATTGGTACTTGCAGCAATTATCACCAACAGAAGCTGCAGATAGGGCCAAATGATCTGTTAACGAGATCATTAACGTTAAGACATTAATTGACAAAAAAATTTGGTTTTACGTTCAGATGTTTAATCCCATGATCCCACTAGGTTTAAGGAAGAGAAATATAGTTTCAAAAAATTCACCAGTAAGCTCTTCCAAACCATCGATAACGTAAATTTTTTCTTCTTTAGGATTTTGTTTTCTTCTTGTTTCTTGGTAAATAAGTTAGAGTATTTTAATGCATAAAAATCTTTCTAATGTTTAGATTGATCTAAGATTGTTGTTTCTTGTGAGAAAATTGGACTATATGGTAAAGTCAAAAAGCAGCCCAGATGTTGAGTCACAAAATTATCTCAAGTTTAAAGAAAATTCTTGGCAAGCTTAGTTAAACAAGCAAGATTTTCTTTGTAATGTATTGTTGTTAATGCTGTTATTCAAGTACTCTGTCCTTTTTACTTCCTCAGATCGAGTATTTCTAATTTTAGTTTCAAATTTTAGTCAGAATTGATATAATATCTATGTTTGTCTTAAATTTTAAATATGGAATTGAAAACCAAGAACTTGCTCTTGTCCATTAGACTTTTCATGTTGTCTCTTTTAAACTTAATCATGAAAGAGTTTTTTTATTTTATTTTTTCCTTCCCGGAGACATATATGTTTGCACAAAGTAATCAAAATGCTGGTGTAAATGGTTAACTAGGCAAAGGTTCCCATAATTGTGTTAAGTGTGGATTTCATTAAGAGAGAAAAAATCAAATTGTTCAAACTTCACAGAGATTGGGATCGGCTACTATCATTGGCGTACGATTCTTTAAATTTTACATTTTCACTCTTTTTGGTTCTTTTAAGAAATTAAACTAAATCATAAAAATAATTTGTTTTTTAGTTTAGTTTAATCCGGTTTCCGTTTGGTTACGATTCGTTTTTTTGGTTTTCCATACTCCTCTGCCAATTTTCCTAAACTTCATTACCCAGTGCAAAGATCTTTAGAGGATTCTCTCAAAAAGTCAAAACTAATTCTTAAAATTTGTAAGAAACTTTTGTAATATTTCTCCCGCTAAAGTTGAATAAGCATATACGATAATGATTCAGAATTCTTATCACAAGATACATTGCAAGCAAGTCCATTGATGATTAAAAAATAATTCAAGAAACCATTTAGATATAACAAACTGTAAGCACAGATAAATTCTATATACATTTTAGTCAGCAGACGATAAGAGTTGGAACGTATAATAAAGTTACTCAACAACACTAGAAGAACCACAAAAATATGAAATCAAAAATACATTATTGGTCATAGATCTTAGCTTATTGGGTGTGCAACATTATTTCACGTTTGGACCAATAATTTGCCATTGAATATTATTTTAATTAATTTAAGTAATATTATGGTGATTGGCACCGCTTATATTTTTTCACAAAGAAAAAAAATAAGGGATTTGCACTATTTATTAAAGACAAAAAAGAATTACGAGGAAACAAAACCTAATTGATTCAAGTAATGGCAACAATAAAGTAATATGGTATTTCACTGTTCAACTAAGAAAACAAGTTCTTAATACTAATAGACCAAACAAGAATGCTAAGAAGAAGCTGAAGACTTCGAGTCACCGCTTCAAAGAGGTGATGGTGACATCTGATACTGTGGAGCATTAGTAGATGAATCAGCTAACGGAGAAGGTGAAGGAGACGGAGAGGAGCTTGGTGACCTGACCGGTCCAGGAACCGGAGCAGCCACGGGACCCAACGAGGCCGGGAAGACGAGGATGTCAAGCTTTTGTCCTATGTCGCAGTGACCAGGAACTCCGCATATAAAGTGTTGGAATCCCGGTTTGGTTAGAGCCACCGTGTCAGAGCCGGTTTGGTATCTTGCTAGCGGTTTAGACGGATCGCACAGCTCGAAATCATGGGGAGTGACTTGTGTAACGTCGTGGAACTCGTTGTTGTATTCGAAAACCAAAGAGTCTCCTACTTGAAAAGTTCTTGAAGAAGCCCAAGCCTCGTAACCAACCCCCATCATGGTCCATCCGTTTGCGTCGCCGACTTTGTGAACGGTTCCTCCGACGGCAACACCAAGAAGTGCCACAAAAATCAGCGAAGAATTGAAGAAGGATTTGCTCTTGATCAAAGCCATGGTTGATGATTTGGTTCTTGTTCTTTTTTTGAATAAAGAGAGACAATACGTTTGAGAGAGATTATGGAAGAGTATTGAGTTTGTTTGGTGAGAAAGGTGAGCCCATAACTCCATAAGAGTGTTTATATAAGAGCCGGACGTTCGATAAATGATAATCTTTCTTCTTTTAGGATTTGAAGATTTGGATAATATTCACTAGTGTTCCGTTCATGAAAAGGATACACAATGACCGTCTCTAATTTAAATTTACTTTTAATTTTTTTTTGTCCATAAGAACTGATTTTAGTATAATTAAATTGATTTTTGTATAATATCAAATTTCCTTTTTAACATTTAATAGTTTTGTTTTCATTTTAGTTTCTTACAAATATCTCATCGTCAATTTAATTATTATCATATTATAAATTGATGAAGCAAGTTAGACTTTAGTTTAGAGTTATAATAGTTGGTTACTCTTTGCTCCTTATATAAAAAAATTATTTATCCTTTATGAAATTAACTAATTAATATAATCTAATTTTTATCTGATTTTCATTTTTTTAAAAATCTACATTTTCAAATTCAAATTTATATTATAAGAATATTCAATTTACTAAAAAAAGTAACTAGCATAAAA